ACCACCACCACCACCACCACCACCACCACAACAACAACAACAACAACAACAACAACAACAACAACAACAACAACAACAACAACACCCAGGCCAGATGAATCAGTCTGGATCTTGTAAACAGCCTCTAATGAGGTTGTTTGGGAATTATTACCTTTCTTGATACTGCTTCAAGGATTTAGTAACTATAGTAAGAACACAGTTCTACATGAATCCTAAGCCTACCTTCAAATGCAGCCCATTTTAAGGCCTGTTTATACTGTGTTCAATTTTGGTACCCCTTAACATGTTTACCATGCATGGACTACCTATGTTCATATAGGACGGGCACAAATAAATTTGGTACAGGACCACAAATACCAATTTTATCTGCGCCATAGCAAAAATTGAGCATAGCGTACAATAATTAGTTTAGATAAAGGATCAGTGCGCAATAGCCAGTTTTCTGTCATGAATACGTCATAACAGTACAGTACATGCAAAGCTGTCCATAAGCCTGCAATAATGCAGGGGGAAGGCTGTGACTGGATACATTTTCCTGCAATTTGTCCTAATGTCTTGTTAATGTACTCTGTCTGATACCAAACAAATTTACATATCTTTTCATATACTCACTCGTCAGTAAGCCCTAATGTCTCCTGTAATATATACTTTACAATAATAGTGTTAAATCGAATGTAATCTAGTAGATGGTTAAGCCAATATATACCTGGTAACCCATGAGACATGGCTACCCGAAGGGCATCCATTATTTGGCCTAACACTAGATTTATATTCTTGCTGTCTTAATGCCAATTAAAGCTAACACATGTATAAATAGATATAATTTTATCAATTCCTATTTTTCAGCTTTTGCTCTGGACGATACAGTCTATAGAAAGACAGCTGCTATGCAGTTTTCAAAAGCGGTGCAGGACAAAATGCTGTTGGGCTCGAAGAGAAGTAACTAAATGCAAACCATCTGAGTGAGACTTGACAATTAACAATTATTGACTTTTAGATACTCATTATTTATTTCTGGCCATTTTTAATATAATTATTATTATTTATTTAAAAAGTTCCTGGTTTCTGAATTGGCTAACAGCCAACTGTGAAATTGTCATATCGACTCAATGGCTAACCAAATACGCATTTTTCACATTCATATTAGCAACATGACGTCAAAAAGTTAATATGAAAAAAAATTGGACGCATTTTCACCATATTATTTGACGACGAGAATCGTTTTGACTCGTTGACGCCATTGATATGACGGGACGACGGCTGGCGAAGGACTAAGGAATTGTTTTTTTCTTAATACAAATAAATTACAAATGTTTGTTTTGAATTTTTTAAATAAATAATAAAACAATTCTTGAATTCGGTTTTCGCACAATATGAAGAACTACAGGTATCAAGCCCTCAGTTTGCCGTGATCAACCTCAGCCTTCGGAATCGGTTGATAACGGCAAACATCGGGCTTGATAATTCTTCATGTCGTGCTCAACCTTATTCAATAATTGTTAAATAATATTAGAAAATTTTAAATAAGTGTAGGTTATAGTACCGTATGTGTCAGTACTCTGGGGACGGTTGTTCAAAGCTGGACTAGTAATAACCCTGAGTTAAAATTTAACCTGCTGTTTTACTTTGTGTATTTCTGCACGTCTGTTGATTTTAAAATGTCTGTTTATTTCAAAGCGTCAGAGAAGAAAACTCATATCGATCCAGACAAGATCTCTGAAGAAATATTTCCAAATTTATAGACAAGCTGTCAGGAAGTTTGCTTTGAATTAACCTATAGGGTTAAACTAAATGATCTAATCCAGCTTTCAACAACTGGCCCCTGGTGAATGATTGATTATACAGTCTTAAAATACTCATTAAAAATTCATAAACCTGGTGGCAAATCATGTCAGCCATAACATGTCACGTGGAGTAACTTTATATCAGATAAAACTCATCCTAATTAGTATGATTATATAATGGTTCATCCTAATTAGTATTCTTTTGTAGTCGTATTTTAAGCCATTTAAAGCACTTGTAGTCGTTTTTATCAGATATGAAAAGGTCAAGGAAGGTCAAGGTCAAGGTCACAAGCTGTCACGTTCGTTATGTAGCGTGTCTGCTAAATTTATTAAAAAATATACCTCATATCTCATCGATATTATACCATTTTTGGGTCAAATAAATATAAAGATCTTGTGACTCAGTGGATATACATCTCGTGTTGTTTAATTGTGATTTTATGTAATTATTTGGAACTACTGTACTATCGTGTAAGTCTGTCGTGTTACAGTGTCTGTCACAACCAATTGGGATTTTTTTGGTCATTGTTTTGGCTTCTTATTGGATTTATTTAAAATATACTCTGTATTCTACGTACTTTGGTCCTGTGATCGTGTTAAGTTTTGGTATTTTGGCGATAAATTGAATTTTTATAATACGCGGTTTTATATATTTGACCGTTGGGAATTTTTGAATGATTTGCGTCTAGCGTCGTTCGTCATGGCAACACATTCATGTTCTTGTGATGGAGTCTCCTTCGCCTAAAAAGTAGTTTGAACTGTGGTATTGTATTTGTCTATTTACTCGTAACAATTTGGTGGATTATTGTTCATTATATATCGCTCTTTGTTGTACAGTTTGATTGTGATTTTTCTCTTTTTGATGTTGTATTTAATATTGTACTGTCCTTCAGTTGACCTTTGACTTGTCTATTTACTTTTCCAGTTTCACATTTGGGGATTTCCCCCACATAAAACATGGTTAGGTATATTATAAATGTTTTAAACACTTTTCTCATCTGGATTCTTACTGTCATTGTCGTTGTTTGGCTATCTACTCGAGCTAAGCCACAACTCGTTGTTTTGGACGACGTTAAAATTTTCGATAGCGTATTCATATCTTCGGAACTAACCAATTTACCCGATAAACTTACTTTTATGTGGACTTCAACACGTGACACTTATATGCGGAAATTGAACTATCCTTGCAAGATTCGTTATGGTTTGGAGTTCAATATCAAGCAAAAAAGCCTGCATTTAGTGTTGTGCATCCTCCTTGCTGGTGACATAGCTACGAATCCTGGTCCCACTACTACAGGGTGTATAAAAAAAAACTGAACAGATTTGAAATTGCTCTCAATTTCGCAAAACACCTATTTGTATTTGGTTTTTTATATATATAGCTTCTTTGGATACTTATAATGTAAAATAATGAAAAAAATTTCTCGAACTCAAATTTTGTGAACCAGGGGTGTGTGTCTTTTCCAACAATCTGAAAATGGCTCGCGCACAAAATTTAAAAGCTGTAATCATAATTTGTCGGGTTTTTAATTACTGTACAAAATTTCAGACAATTTCATTTAGTTTAAGCCCGTTAACTATTCATTTTGTTCTAAAAAGTCAGCCTTTCGCATGCTTAATTAATGCCTTTACCTAATTTGCATATTGCTCACATATGCAAATTAGGCAAATGCATTAATTAAGCATGCAAATAGCTGATTTTTCGGGAAAATTGTAACTTTGCGTGAATTGTTAAGGGGGCTTAAACTAAATGAAATTGTCTGAAATGTTGTACAGTAATTAAAATCCTGACAAATTTTCCATCTGTTAACTCAAAATATGATTGCAGCTTTTAAATTTTGTGCGCGAGCCATTTTTAGTTTGTTGGAAAAGACACACCCCCTGGTTCACAAAATTTGAGTTCGAGAATTTTTTCTCATTATTCTACATTATAAGTACCCAAAGAGGCTATATATATATATATATATATATATATATATATATATATATATATATATATATATATATATATATATATATATATATATATATATAAAACCGGATACAAATAACTGTTTTGCGAAATTGAGAGCAATTTTAAATCTGTTCAGTTTTTTTTTATACACCCTGTATAGCGAATGCACAGTTTGGCAACTTATCTAGGTCACATATACAAGCTCCCGCGTTTGAGCCCTCTAAAAATGAGTTTGGTCCATCCATCGCTCTCGCTAATATGATGTCTCTCGCGCCAAAGATTGACGAACTGAGATGTTTTGTAAAAGATACAAAACCTGATTTAATTTCACTAACTGAAACCTGGCTTAATGACTCTGTTAGCGAGCATCATATTAACATTCCTGGTTTTCATTTATTACTGAAGAACCATAGCTCTGGTGTGCGTGGAGGTGTTGGTCTATACGTTAAAAGTTCCATCCAGTTTAGGGCATTGACTGACATCTACCACCCTGAGCTTGAGGTGCTATGGACATACGTCAAACCCGCGCGACTTCCCAGAGGTATCCCTTGTATAGTATTTGGAACTGTGTATCACACCCACTATCCTGTAGGTTCCAGTGACAATGCGATGTTGGATTACCTCGCTTCATCGCTGATAACTATCGAAGGTCGTTACCCAGGTTGTGGCATATTGCTTACTGGCGACTTTAATCGTTTAAACGTAAGTCGTCTCCTTAAGCAATTCAAGCTAAAACAACTCGTCCCTGGTCCAACGAGAGGTGAGCGGACTCTCGACCTCATTATTACGAACATGCCTCAACTGTATGAGAAGAACTCAGTTCAAAGCTTTCCACCTTTCGGGTTGTCGGACCACTCGGTGTTATTATTACAGCCTAAATCAAGAACCGTACGAAGTTGCAGCCGTCGTTTCGTGTCTCGGAGGGATACTCGATTGAGCCGAAGACTTGAACTCGGGAGGTATCTTAGCTCGATTGACTGGTCGGTTGTTGATTCCATCACTGGATGTGTAAACAAGTTACTACTTTTTGAAGATCTGATTAAAACTGGTGTCGATATTCTCATGCCACTAAAGTCTGTTAAACTACACGTCAACGACGCTCCCTGGGTCACCCCTCAATTCAAAAGTTTGATCACACAACGCCAGAAAGCCTACGCTGAAGGTGCTCAAGTCAGGTATCGACAGCTTCGTAATGTGGTTAATCGTGAGCGAAAGAAGCTTCGCAGCCGGTATTACAACACTAGAGTTGCGAACCTGAAAAATACCAAACCGAGCATGTGGTGGAACGAGGTTAAAAAGATCTCGGGGATGGTCCCTGCAACGTCCAATGTTGATATTCGCTCGCAGCTTCACATTGGCGGCATTGATGGAAAGTCAAATAAGTATGTAGCAGACCTTATTAACACCTCTCTCCTCGAACCCATGCAAGCATACCAACCACTTTCCTGTCTTCCTCCATTCGACGAAAAATCCGAGGTATTAAAGCTTGATGTTTATTCTGTGTATTCGAGATTACTAACGTTAAACCCCCGCAAAGCGTGTGGTCCAGACGAAGTGCCTAACTGGCTACTTAAAGAATATGCAGAATTTTTTGCAAACCCTGTTTGTAACATCTTGAACAGTTCATTTGAGGAACAAGCGCTTCCAGCATCATGGAAATATGCCAATATCACACCACTGTCTAAGACGAAACCGGTTTCAATCATTGCTAAGCATATAAGACCCATCTCGCTAACATCATCTCTATCGAAGTTGGCTGAGGACTTTATCGTTATGAATTATGTTGACCTGCTGTTCTTGAAATCATCGATTCCAATCAATTTGGTGCCGTCCCGAAGTCGTCTACTACTCAGGCTCTTGTATCCATGATGCATGCGTGGACTTCTGCGACAGATGGAACAGGTGCAGCAGTGAGGATCATACTGCTAGACTATAAAAAAGCCTTTGATCTGATCGACCACCGCATTCTAGT